TGTGTAGAGAATCCTCACATAACCATTACAATGTACATATGCCACTTACTTTTCCACACTGCTTACACTTTCCTTCCTGTCTCCGCCTATGCACCCAATGATGTCGGACAAAGTTCTGCAGGAAAGGGACAAAATGAAAGCATTAATGAATGACATCATCTTACCTTTACAGAGCACCTTTCCATCTAATTCACTAGGCAGCTGTATCTACATTAATCACTTCAGCCATGACTGAATTGCAGTCACTTTTGGAATAAAACTTGGCAGCTGTCTAGTAGTACTGCCCAACAGTTGCTAATTGGAGCACCATATACAACTGAAACTGCAGGAGGAATCTACGTAGACAGTATTCATTACCAAACTGAAGTCTGGATAGGACAACCCCCCTGCTATTCTAATACAAAAAGAATAGAGTACAGCACACACAATTACAATATCAGTCAAGAGAGAAGTGTCTTTAAAGCACTAAGTTTACCATGGCATAGGGTCCAATTGAAGTCAATGGGAGAGGAAGTTCACCAATGAGTTTAGTGTGAGCTGGGTTTGGTCTTATAAAGCAAGAGCGTGGGTTGTCCTACAAACCCATGCAGGGAACAAGGAGTTGTAAGGTAAGGGAGTAAAGGGACACAGAGGCTACTCATGCCTCCCTTTCCATGGATGGTGCCTCAACTTTTTCACTTCAGAACACATAGCTGAGTTGATGTACAAGTGGATGTGATCTGCATTGAGTACAGACTAGTAGCAGATTTCTTTCCCCTGGAGAAGAGGAAGAGCCAGAGACATGCTTGGAACTCTATGGCTATATGTACACTGCAAGACTAGGGGTGATTGTGACCTGGGCAGGCATATCTATGCTAGCTTTAATGCAGCTAGCACAGGTAACAATAGTGAAGTAGATGGGCTAGCAACCAGTATCTGTACCTATGCGTAACTCATGCCTGGTGGTATGGTGCTCTGTCCCCCCTAGAGGCACCAAGACCACTTAGAGATTAATGATAGCACTACAGCTTTAGCTTTAACATGGGGCTTTCAGTTCATGCAGTTGATGTGCATGCACTTAGGTCCAGAGGTCCTACGTTTGATCCCATTCACCAACACCTGGGGTTTGTCAACATTACACATGCTCCCCAGTGGGCTTGCACTCAGATAGCTAGTCCATGCTGCTGTATCTACACCACTAATGGTTAAACCTCTCTAGTCTGACATTCTTTGGTCCAGCATGATTAGTGAGCCATGTGTCCACTAATCATGGCTGTGGCCAAATTTCACGTGGTCCCATAAAGTTTGTTTACAGCCACCAATCCCGGCTCTCAGTGTTCTGTACTGTTATTTAGCTCTCATTTACCCCTAAATGTCTTCTGAGAGCCCAGAAAGCAGTGGAAATGTTGGTAATGCTGCTAGGCAGTATTGATCTCCCGTGGTTTGGCAAATTCTCTGGTTTAGCACCAGTCAGATCCCAAGGGTGCCAGACTAGATAGTTTCAACCTGTATTGTAGATTAAAGCTAGCATGCCCACCATCCACTGCAGTGTAGACAATAACCTAAGGCTACATCTACCCTTGGAACTAGGACAGTGCTTACAAGCTCACAGAGACATACTCATGCTAGCTCTCACCAAGCTAGCATACTAAAAATAGTACTGTAGCCACAGCAGCAAGGGCAGCAGCAAGTGGCAGCACAAGCTGATATCCTAGCTGCCCATGGGTGTGTCTAGACTACCTAGTTTTGTCGACAAAAGTGGACTTTTGTCGACAAAACTATACCAGCGTCTACACTACCGCTGAGTTCTGTCGACATAACGTCGACAGAACTCAGCAGTTTTGTCAACACTGGTATACCTCATTTTACGAGGCATAACACCTTCTGTCGACAGAACTCTGTCGACAGAAGGTGTTATTACCTGTAACATTGCGTCCAGATTGCGGAGTTCTGTCGACAAAGCAGCTTGCTTTGTCGTCAGAACTCAATGTATCTGGACGCTCTTTGTCGACGGAAGTTTTGTCGACAGTATCTGTCGACAAAACTTCCATCGACAAAACGCGGTAGTCTAGACATACCCCATGTTGCTATGGCTGCACTACTCCTTGTAACATGTTATCTCAATAAGAGCAGTGCAAACTGGGGATCCCCACCTCTTACACCAAGTGCAGATAAAGCCTGAGAGCAGGCTTGAAAAGATTCCATTTTTATTGATCAGTGTTGATAAACAATCTATTTTCATGGTGCACACACAAACTGATGAAAAATATTTCTACCAACAATAATCAACAGACAAAGAAAGAAATATGCTACTTGAGATCTTACTGCGATTGAATTTAAAGTAGTTCATTGTGTATATTTTGACATGTGATATTGACAGTTTATGTTTTTACAGTTCTAAAGCTTTAACTTTTTTAATCTCAACATTTATTGTTATTAAATAATTAGTCTGGTCCCTTATAATTTCTCCCACCTATAAAAAATTTAATTGATTAAAAAAATGCTCATGTTCATTATTTTGTACACCTGTGAAAATATAAGACAGTAAAAAAAACATGCAAAAATAAACATCAGTATTAGAGGCCAAAATTATTTAAAAAATAAAAATAAAATCCTGCTAAACTTTTATGCTCCTAGGGCAGCACAAGTAGGCACTGCTGCTTGCTATAGGTTAAGAGTAAACTCTCAGTCTAAGCCATAATTTAAACCATACTCTCTACCCTACACTTCAAAATCTGTTCCTGAACTCTCCATACTCATTGTTAAAAAAGTAAGTCTATCTAGCTTATCAATGAAGCTGAGATACTACACAAGCAAATAAGCTCTACTTTTTCCTTTCTTTTCTTTATTAAAAATCTAAACATACAAGAATTTAAATGTGAAAGCCTGACATGAAGACATGAAATAATTTTCAACAACTGTATTAACTGTATTTTGTTTCACGTGCTACTTTCTGTGCCTGTTTATTCTACTTAAATATGTTCCTTCGTGTTTATATCATGAAATATATGCATAAATACCATAAAGCATGCAGCTTCTATAATGTGGCCAAATTCATACTGCAGTTGAAATTAACTTTTGCATTTCATGAGGTTTTGTAATTTTGCAAGCTAATGAGAGACTTAAAACCCTGAAAATACTATTGGCAAAGTGAGGGGGAAAAGGGGTAAAAGAAAGGGAAGAAATAACGGAGAGATGCAAGGGTAGAAAAATCAGAAAGACAGGAAATAAGAAAGAAAGAATATGAAACATAAGAAAAAATAATGGATGAGGGAATATGGAAAGAAGACATTTATGTTATTGATAATAACTAATGTGGCTATTTGTCTAGAATTCATTTTATATTCATTGTGGAGAGAATGTGTCCCACAGGAGGCCAGTTCCCTTTCCAAGGCTCCAGTGAGTCTAAAAGCCATGTTCCTGCTCCAAGAACTTGTGCACAAATCATGGAGGGGAGCAACGGTTAGTCATAAGTTACTTACTTCTCTTGGAGATCTGGAGCCCCCCTCTCGGAAAGTTGGTTTGCACCGAAAATTAATCTGCCATTAAAAGCAAAGCAAACAAATAGAAAAAAAATCAATGCTGTTTAGGAAGGTCACTGTAAATGTTGACAATGTGCATGGTAATATGAGTGAGAACTGTTCCCGCATATTATATTAGACGAGCTCAACAAAATTCCTTTTTCAAAAACATACTAGCTCAACTAAAAATCCAGAGCCCCAACAAAGAGCTTTATTTTGCTCTTAAATAGCATTTTTTTCTGTATGTACCTACCCAAACAATTCACGTCTTCCCTCCCCATGTCTCTCAACAATTTTCTCATCACCATGTTGTGGCTGTCTGCTCACTTTCTCTTCTTTGTCTGCCCTCCCTCTCTTAAAAGGCAGCACTGCATCAGTTTAACCTTCCTTTGCATGAGCAAGGTTATATTTGCAACCATTCACTGGGTTTAAACTAGGGATTTTAATGTCAATGGGAGCTCGTAATCAAACTCCTTTGGTCTCTTTGAAAATCCCAGGTTTACTGCTTTTTTAATGTACGCTTAAATTCTGCACACCAGTCACATAAGAAATGTTGGGACTCACCCTGAATGGGTAAGTAGATTGTTTCCATATCTTTATCAGGCACTTTACCCACCCTAAATACTGGTCAGACTAGCAGTGCCTAATAAAGGATCAGCTACATGCCCTGTTTCTGAGGGCAGAGTAGACTACAGGTCAACAGGCAGGTGCTTTCATAAAACTGAAAATATTATTAGAAAACAGATTGGAAACAAAAAGAAAGGATGGAAGGAAGGAAGCAATGAGGGGCAGGAAGAAAGAACCACCAAATATGGGGAAGCACAAGGTAAAAGGGAGGAAAGGGAATGCAGAGACAGTAAAGTAGTAACGGGGGAACACAGAGAGAACAAAAGGAAGACGATGATGGTAGAGGTGGAAAAATAAATGGTGCAACTGAAGTTACCAACGGAGCTCAAGTTTGCATTTCCGCAGTTTTCTCTTCCTTTTTCCCCACCCCCATTCTAAGGAAATGAACCATCAAAAGAAGAGTCAAATTTCCTATAGCAAAATGAAAGCTCCTTATAATCCAAGCTTATTTCAAACCTTGCATCAGTAAAAGCAACACAAAATTGTAATTCTTAATGCCTGGTCTTACAGGAGGATATATAGTGTAAAATGTTGACACACACATTCTGCAAATCACTTACATGACCACAGTTATTGCTCTATAGACATAACATGGCCAGCAATCAAAATGCTTGCTTGTGATGCTACGCTCTCAGGCCATCTCCCAGTACCTGCGCAATACACAAGCATGTTCAACAGCCACACTATGGTACATTTCCAGGAAGTACCACCTTTATTACAGCTTTAGTCAAGCTATATGAGTGCAGTGCTACACTGTCCTTTCCTGAAACAGCATTTATAGGAACAGTACTTCCTCTTTCAGATGAGATATGTTGTTGCCAGCCATGGTATCCCAACAAGAGGAATGTTAACTTCAGTATCCTGTCCAAATTCCACTCCGAGGACTGTGCTATTTCTTTAAGTTCCTCAAGTAGCTTTTAATTTTATGCTGTTTTAGTCTTAAGCTTCTGTCCAAAACATAAGGATATTATGCCTTGTTAAATAGCTGATAGGCTTACCCCAGAGGTGGCTCCATTTCATTGACAAATGATTCTCTAATAATTATGTAAACTGCTTTGATATCCAATGGCCCTGCCAGGAAGCAGCTGAAAGTGGGCCTAATCCTGTGCCAGTAGCTCTTCTCTCAGCTGTTCCAATTTAAATTCATTTTTCTTGAATACAGATGACTGGAATTGTACACAGTATTCCAAATGAGGTCTTACAAATGCCTTGTATAATGCCATTAATATTTTTTTTTAATCTCTACGGGAAATGCCTCATTTACTACATTTGAGGATTGCATTTGCCTTTTTCACAGCTGTACCAGACAATTAGCTCATACTCATCCTGTTACGGACCCCCATACCCAGATCTCTCTCAGCTATCTCTTTCTACTAATGAGCCACCAACTTGTACCGGAAATTCTGATTATTAGACCCTAACTGCATGACCTTGTATTTTGTATGGTTGATTTCATTCCATTTCTGTCACTCCAGTCTTCAGAATCATACAGTTTTTCCTCTGTAATATTCCAATCCTCCTGCATTGATGATGACTCCCAACTTTATATCATCAGCAAATTTCATTTGCACACTCCTATTTTTTATGCCAAGGCCATTAATACAAATGTTGACTAAGATTAGTCCCAAGACCAACCCATGCAGAACTCTCTACAGTCTGATAATTCACCTTTCAGCACAATCCTTTGCCTTCTCCCCTTTAGCCAATTCCTTAATCACTTTGCAGTGCTTGCACTGATTCCCCCATCTTCCATAATTTAACTAATAATTTCCCAAGTGTTACCATGTCAAATGCTTTACCAACGTCCAAACGTATTAGCTCTACTGCACTTCCCTTACTGACAAAAAAAAATTAGTTCTTTTCTCAAGGAAAGAAATCAGGTTATTACAGCATGATCTACTTTTGATAAACCCACATTGCATTACATCCCCATTTCCTTTACCTCTGTTATTTAATTATCCTTATCTTCACAATTTGCTCTAAAATTGGCATTCTACTGAGATCAGACTAATAGAACTTAATTGTCCAGATCACTTTTCTCGTCTTTCTCAAATATAGGTATGATAATAGCTGTTCTCTAGTCATATGGTACTATATCTGAACAGAGATTTATTAAAAATCCTTATTACAGGATTTAAAATCTCCTATACCAGTTCTTTCGATATTCTGGGATGGAATTATCTGGTCCCACAGATGAGAGATTTAAGTTTTTCTTCTGCTTCAGGACAGGGCAATTTCCATTTCTGTATACTCATTTCTAACAGCCACATTGCATCTCTGTACTTGTTCAGTATGATCACAGTCACTGGAAACTGAGTCAAACTGTTCATTTAGTTTGGGGACCAATCTGGAGATTATTTTAAATCTAAATCTTATCTCTTTGCCCAGAACCCAAGCCTCATGTGTCCCTATTTTCTTTTCACTTATTATTATTTAATTTCCTTGGCAAGAGCTAATTCAGGTTGACTTTTAGTAATTCTCCCTTTCCTACCTTTTCTAACCTCTACAATGTAGCTTTCTTTGCCAGTCAGACTTTCTCCATTCCATATAGTCTTTGCTAATGCCTAATAACCTTTTTAGAGGAGAATTAAAAACAGTGAATAGTTCTGCAACACCTTACAGACTAAAAGAATGTAGATGGTATCATAAGCTTTCGTGGGCACATCCCACTTCCTCAGATGAATGGAGTTAAGGGATCCAGGGTCCAAATAAATAGCAGAGAAAGAGAGGAAATGGGGAGGGAAAGAGAGAAAAATGGGAGAAAAATATTGTCGATTAGAGTGTCCATGCTAAATGCATTTAATAGAGTGGGCTCTAAAAATTCTAAGTACCCGGTGCTTGGCTTTTTATGTCATTAGAATGTGGAATGTAGTGCCTTATCCAGGTTAGGTCTTTGTTTAAGTCTCTATTCAAGGTTTTCACACTTGTAAATGAAACCAAGTTCTGCAGCTTCCCTTTCAAACTGGTTTTTGAAATTGCTTTGAAATAATATGGATACTTTTAGATCCATTAGTGAGTACCTGGGCAAGTTAAAATTTCCCCAAAAGGTTTCTGTGTGTTACCATTTTGAATATCTGATTTGTGTCCATTAGTCCTTTGTTGTAAAGACTGTCCGGTTTGGCCAATATACATAGCAGAGGGGCACTGCTGGCACTTGATAGCATAGATCGCATTGGTGGATGTGCAGTTGTGTGAGCTTCTGATGTGGTGACTTACGTGGTTAAGTCCTGTGATAATGTCATTCGTACAGATGTTTGGACAGAGTTCTCACCGGAGTTGCATGCAGGGGTGAGTTCCTGGATGAGTATGATGGAGGTGTGCTACGTGGTTGTTGGAAAAAAGAGGTAGGGGGTTGTCTTCTCTTCATTTCCCAGGGCAGCAAACCTTTAACTCAACTCAATTTCATCAATACTAGCTGGTCTTTTCCTCTGCCTTGTCCCTATGTCATATTATTCCATGGATTGCCTTTCTCTTCTGGCAGCTTTCCCTGTAGCTCCTTTTGTTCAGCAGACGTCCATAAATTTTGAGCTGTCTGTACAACCTCTCTCCTTTCCTGAATGATTCCTTCATATCTTCTGAATTCCATGATTGTCCCCAGCAGCAACTCTAATCCTTGAATCTTCTCTGCTGTGAGTTCTATCAGGTGACATTTCATGCATAAGCAGCTTCCATCAGACACCTTATCCAGGGTGATACACAACCTGCAGTTTCCTTCTGTCCTCTCCTCCTCAGGTCATTTGTAGTGCTGCCTCAATAGCCACCACTGTCTTCTTTTCCAAAAACCCTATTCCTAGTGGAAAAGAAAACCTCCCCACTCGAACGCTCATTTACAAACTCCTACAAAACTCTGCTGTTAACTGCCGGCTGTTCACTGCTCCAATGTTCACTAATGACTGGCTTTTAAACCTAGGCAAACTAAGTCAGTCCTAGCCACTCATTAAGGAACATCAGGAAGCTCTGAATCAAACTGTAGTTATTGAAAATATTTCTTCTTTGAAAACAGATTAACCTTGCAATGCTATTATCCCTCCTCCAATCCTGTACATCTGGAGTCTTTGAGCCTCTGTTTCACTAAAATCTAATTATTTTAGTTAAATTCACCCCAAGGAAGAGGGTCAAATACAAAGTTTATCTACCATTGACATCCCCTAAAATGGAATTTAAGAGATGTACATATCTTTGGATAGCCTCTACACAGGGACAAATTTCATACTCTATAGAGTAGTAGAAAACAAACTAACCTTCAACTCAATGGCCTGCATCTGAGTGTACATTTTTGGCATACCGTAAACTAGTGAGGATGTAAGAAATTAACACCACTTCTGGGTAAAACATGCCAAAAAATATTGATCACTACAATTTTGTCTTATTTTACCTTCCGTTGTGTTAACCAAAATGTACTAAAAACTCTGACAAAATAGCCCCAACACATTTGTTTTAATGGCATTTTGCAAAACTCAGCCAAATCTGGGAAAATTAAAATCCCTTTTCAAAGGAAAGCCACTATAGATCTTTAATGTGTTGCCCATTTCTCTGCAAGAAATTGGTGTCATTTTACCTGGGGTAAAATCCTGACCCCATTCAAGTTAATGGCAAAATTCCCATTGACTTCAGTGATGCTGGGATTTTCCTCCATGAATCCTATTGGGGAAATAATTAATCCTGTAACAGATTTTGAGTTAATTTAAAATGAAGAATAAATGTACTACCACATAAAGGAGTTCAGAAAAAAAATTATATTATATGTTTAATATGCTTTGGGATTTTGGAGGTTTGGGGAGGAATCTATTAGATCAGGATGGATATCAAAATAAATTATTTCCCAAAGCAAAGAAAGATTTAGAAAATGTTTCCGCTTGTAATTCAAAGTGCTATATCCCTAAAGTTCAGGGGCACAGAGAGTCTACGGAACCCCATTAAAATAATTATGGTGATTGTCGACCTTGTAATCTTTTTTAACAATGGTAGGTGCCATAAATTCAGTTTTGATATAGAATTGTGTGACTGACAAATAGGTTGTGGGATAAAAAACAGGGCATTTTCTATCTTTTATTTTCATTCTACAACATTTTCCCTTATAACTGGAGCAGGATAACAATATGCTTAAAAATCAATTAAAATATCATACTTTCAGGAATGTTTCTTTTTCACCTGGTACAAAATAGACCTGTTTGGTTTAGAAACATTTCAAATGTTTTGATTAAACAAGTCACATCAAAAACATTTTTAAACATTATTGGAAATGTTCTTTTGCTGTAAGCCAAATTTAATAATTATGTAGGTAATAATTTCTGCTAAAATTGGCAACATTTTAATTTAAAACATTGTAAAAATCATGAAAACAAAAATAATCTTAAAAGTCATTAATTTTTTAATTATTTTCTTTAAAATGGCTTTTTCCTACAATGGAAGGGTTTTTTCCATTTAAAAATTGTGAATAAGGTCTACCTACGATATTATGAAAGTCTTTTAATGTATTTGACATACCGGAAATTAAGCTAGTGGGGTTTTCAGGATAATGCTCAGTTATAGATTTAAAATTTGTACTGTACATTCACTATTCCAGCAGGTGGAGTCCTCTTACCTTTTCTAACTGTTCCATGCACGCATTGTGAACCACAATCTTGCAGGCAGCACACTTCCGTCGGAGAGCTGATTTCTACAATATTTAAGAACAATGTGGGTGAGAGGGTATGAAATAAGGGGAAATCATTTACAGCAGCAAAAATGTACAGTCGAGGCCAGATGGCTTCCTCTTTCCATCATTTTATCCAACAGATCTTCTGGACTGTCTTCAAAACCTGATTGATCTACATGTTGAAAAATGGCTTGAAGCTGACTAGTTAAGAATAAAAGCATAAGCAGGAACAGCATGACAATACGGAGCATTGAAACTATGGTGTAGGGATATGTGATCTGGAAACAAGAACTAAAAGCATTTTTAAAATAGTAAATAAAGTTATTGCTGGCATTCTTGGCTATAAGACTTCCATACCAGGAAGAGTCTAAAATGGAAAAGGGAACAGGTAGTGAAGATAAAAGGAAACATACACACTTTACTGAGAGTTTCAGTAATGACTTGAGCCAAATTGGGAAAAAAGTTCTTTATCTATTGTTTATACCAAGCACTCAATTTGATGGAGCATCACTGTGACCAATGCATTACAGGAAAAAATCCTGTGTAATTTATTAGAGAATAATAATCATCCTGAAAAATGTTAAACAACCTATAAAATGGTACAGCAAGAACATATATTCCCCATTACATTTTTAGGGTGGTTTTACAATTCTGTATAAAAGATATTATATTAATTTCTATAGGCTTTTACAGCAACTCCTATAGAATCCTATTGGACACATTCTTATCAAAGCCAACACTGAGTCTCTATTAAAGACAGAATGTCTTTACCATAAATTAACTTTCTTATTCTTGCACATACTAGACATTCTAATGAGCCACACAAATGTCATTTTTAGATAAACACTTATGGCTGAGACAGAAAGATTGTCAACAATAAATTAAGGCTGATTTTCTTGAAACTTTGCAGTAATTTTATTGTAGTCATTGAGAGCTTGTAATTAATGTTTTCTTTATAATTTTAAATAAGTTATTAGTTAGATTTAGGAAGCAATAGCTCTCTTGTAGCTAACATAACACTAGTAAATTTGCACTATTGTCAAATCATTATATTTCTTGGCAAGTCTCTCAATTTTTGATATTTTTAAAGCACCAGCTGATGGAATTATGATATTAAGAATTTCAGCTTCTGATTTCATAAAATGTAAGTTTCTAGTCCTTGTGATTGCACAGGAAAACCTGAATACATGGAACAAGCATCCCCTAATGGCTTAAAGACCAGAAAGAAAAATAAAATAAAAAATGTTTGTTTTTTAAAATGTCATGATTTGTAAACCAATCTCATGATTTTAAGAACTGGACTACTGATTCCAAGCATTAGTAAGGAAAGACTAGTGCATAAAAATCAAACTTAGAGTCTTTCCATCTCATGTACTATTTATGCACCAGCTCCATGTTTCAAAGAGTGGGAGTTCATATCCTGCTAAGGCCTTAAGTTTTTTTTAATTTCTATTCATTTTCCATAAATGTAATTATAGATTAATTATTTCATACCACTCTTCCATTAAAAGATATCTGATCTAAAAATATTATATAAGTAAAAAGCTAAGTAACAGAAAGATCACTACAGCCATAGAAAGAAGTGGTATCTCTAAAGAGATTCAAATTGGAAAAGCATTACCCATATAATTGATCAAGATAAGCAAAAAATAATGAGAACTAATTATATTCTTCCCATCTATAGTTCATACACTCATACCTAAAAGAAGCGCAAGTGTTTCTTTGTGTTGCACTAATAGATACTCCCACAAATCAAATTAGGACTGAGGAAATACCTCAGATTACATATTATTAGTACAAATAGCACAATTTTTTTTTATTTTTTTAAATAAAGAATTTGACCAGTAGTTTTGTTTATTTTTTTTCTTCCTATCTGCTGTAGCAAGGCACCCCCCATTGCACTAGGAAATGCAAGTTCCCAGACTTCTGAAAGTAGTCATCAAGCAAAACTGGGTTCCTTGCCCTACCAACAGATAAGAAAATCTGAAACTGTTACACTCACTGCAAATTTGACTTGGCAACTGTCCTCCCCCAGGTAACACAGGTCCCCGGACACATTGGTCTCCAGCCACAGATGCTCTCCATTCACTGCATTCTCCTGAGAAGAGATGATTGTTAAATTGGCTGATCTGAGCACAGGAGGTTAAAAAATTTGAACACTGGCTTAAATTTAAAATAATGATTAACTTATCATTGGTGATCGAAGACACAAGTTTGCTCTCATCCTAGAGCTGATCAGATACTTTTCCACAGCACAAAACCATCACGCTGTGTCTTAGTGGGCCACCCCCTCACAAGACGACTGTGGTAGAAGGAGAGGAGTGCTGTGGGTCAGGACCAAGGTTCATTGACCTTGGTGTTTGGAGAAACCTTGCCTAGCACCCGCCCATACTACGTCTAGCTTAAGCAATATTATCAGCTCCTCACTTTCCTCAGTATGAAATTTACCACTATATTAAAAAAAAAGTAAAATGACAACACTTGATTTTTCCACTGACATATATTTGTAGACTAGAGACCTGTCACGTTACTGGTCCAGTAATGTGACAAGACCCAACCAAGGAAGTGCAAACTACTATATCCAGTGGAACTGCAGGGGTATTTAGACAGGAAGAAATGATTTGTTCAGAAATCCTGAGTACATATCACCATTCTCATGAAAAATGCTGTTGGAATGTTAATGGACAGAACTAAGGGCCTTGGGTTTACATATCAAGGATGCCACCTCCTGCTGGTTAATGCTCTCAGAATCATGCTAGTTGTTTTGGCGATCCAACAGTGATTCAGGGGCAAGTGAAACATAGAAATGCAGGGCTGGAAGAGACCTCAAGAGGTCATCTAATCCAGCTCCCTCTGCTGAGGTGGGACCAAGTAAACCTAAACCACCCTCTGTCTAACTTGTTCTTACAAACTTCCAGTGATGGGGATTCCATAACCTCTTTTCAAAGTCTACTCCAATATTTAATCATCCTTATCATTAGCTGTTCCTAACATCTAACTTAAACCTCCTTTGCTGCAGATGAAGACCATCACTTTTTTGTGCTACCCTCAGTGAACACTGAGAACAAGTGATCACCATTCTCTTTGTAGCAGTCCTGAACATATTTGAAGAGTGTTATCCAATCTTCTCCCCACCCCCACCAATGCTTAGTTTTCTTTTCTCAAGACCAAACATACCCTGTTTTGACAGTCTTCAAATCTATTAAAAGCTGTTATAAAAAGAGGACTATGATAAATTGTTTTCTGTGAATGAATCACCCAGAACCCATACTGGAGCAGCCCAGCTTTCCTTAGGAACTCACATGTATTTATCAAGTCCAGCCCTCCATACTTTATGAAATCTTGCAAAATGTGATACTAGCTTAATAGCAAAAATAAAATGTTGTGTATGCAATATTTGAGCAAAGTGAATAAGCAAGAATTTTCAAAATTAAAGCACAATGAAAAATGCTTTGCCATTCTCTGGCATTTGATTCCCACACTGCAGAAGACACAAATGATGTTGCTTTCCAACCAGATGGTGTCCTACAGCAGGATACTTCCAGACTTTTTCATCAAAATCCTTTTTTTTAAATAGCACGGGCAATTTTTCAACATGATAAGACAAAAATTACTTCTCTCTGACCATAAGGATATTTCAGGGAAGGGCTTTTTACTAGGGAAATGTATCAGGTATCGTTTCTTTGAGTTCTGCAATAGAAATGCATTCACAATAACTAAATCAATATTAAAAACTGCAAGTAAATAACCGGTATCTATCAGAACTCTAATGCCAATTTACCAGAAGTCATCAGGTCACAATCCAAAAAAGATTGTGGTAAAAAGGAAAAATAAGATATTTTTATAGTGACAGATATACCTGTCCATATTTTACTGTATATACTAGATATAAGCAGCCTAAAAGTGACCAGAAACACTCCTGCCAGTAATATCAGGCTTAGTACAGTCCCTAATAGAGGACTGAACTAGGACTCAAGTTCTATTCCTGACTCTGCCACTGACCTACTACCTGATCTTGGGCAAGTCACTTCTGCTCCCTGTGCCTATGTTTCCCCTACCACATTTTGCCTGTCTTGTCCATGTAAATCATAAGTCCTTTTGTCTTCAATTATGTGTTTGTATGGGTATGCCTACACTGCATTCCTCTTTCGAGAGATGAATGCAAATGCAGACAAACAAAATTGCAAATAAAGCGTGGATTTGAATTTCCTGTGCTTCATTTGCATAATTGCAGCCGGCCGCTTTTTTGAAATACCCTATTTCGAGATAAAATATACTTCTTAAGATGCGGTTATTTCAAGAAAAAACCCTTCTTTCGAAATAACTCTTACTCCTTATAAAATGAGGTTTAAGGGTTATTTTGAAAGAAGGGGTTTTTTTTCCGAAATAATCCCATCTAGACTGCGTTTTTTCTTTCAAAATAGGGTATTTTGAAAAAGCGCCCGGACGTGATTATGCAAATGAAATGCAGGAAATTCAAATCCGCACTTCATTTGCAACTTCACTCAGCTGCATTTGCATTTCTTTCTTGAAAGAAGAATGCAGTGTAGACATACCCTATGGCACCTAACCCAGCCTAAGTTAAGGCATGTAAATGTTATAATGATAATGATAATAATGCTTACTTTTCAAGACTAGAGCTCATTTAGGTACAAATCCTGCTTGTCTTGCTCATATAAGCAATTTTACTGCATCCATCCATTTTTCCTCTAAGTTCATCCTCACAATAAAGCTGCACTATACAGGAAAAGTGATAGCCAGAACTGTCAAACAGGTTTTTATAGTACATCAGGAAAAAACATCATTTGAAAGCCCAGTCACTTAATTCTAATGAAGATGTCTGTACCTCACCATCATGCAATGCTTGAAATCCTAATTTCCAGCCTAGTTTATGTGGTATTAAACTGAATAGTGGGACAAAGAAGCAGATGAGTCTTACACTATTCAAAACTGCTTAAGTGGGACACAGTGTAGGACACCTTCCTTGTTAAAATAACCAGTGGTTAACAACATATGGCTCATAATATTAGCTGGTGACGCATCATGCACATTATAAAGGAAGTGTGTTTGGAACAATCAGTTTGGAAAGCTAAGCAAGAAAGCACACAATCCTGACTCCTGATTTTTTATCAGGGATCAAAATTCCCTCAAAAGAAATGAAACAGAGTAAAAGTTCCTCTATTCACGGCATGTTTTGCTGTGGCTTTCCAGTCAAGGTTTCTAAAGATAAAATGGCCTATTTTCATAACCCACTTTAGACCAAATTAGATTTTGTTCTCTGTTGTTCCTGAATGGGTCATACATTCATAGCACCTCATTTTCTATCAGAAGTATGACTAAAACAAATTTGTACTCTACTACCCTTTTTGGGCTACGTGATGCTGGTCAGACTAGATGATCACTGTGGCTCCTTCTGCCCTTAACACCAAGGGGCCTGATTCTCTGTGGCCCTGCACCTAAATGATTTACACCAGTGCCAAAAATGGGCTTAACATTTTACCATTCCCACCTGGTGGCACTTACATCCATTTTACATCCACTTTTCTCTAGGGTAAATGACTCTAGGGTAGAGCTGGTCAAAACTTGGCCCTGGGAGGGGAAGAAGTTGATTAACAGGGCCCATGGACCGAGACCCCAGTTCAAGAAATATTGAAGTAAGCCATTTAAAGGAGGGAGAAACAACTTTTAAAATACACCAGGCTAATATATTAATCCAATTACTGCATTTACCTGTAGTGAGAGTAAGCAACAAACACACAATTATGATCAATGTATAATATTTGTTGCTGCAAATTATATTACAGTAAAAGTTTTGATATGTGGCACTTGAATACCTAAAAAGCTTGGTTATCTGGCATTGCCCCCAGCGTCTACACTCCTGTGTCCTCAGGGGCACATGCACCTGACTCCCGCCTGTGCAGCCAGCCAACTTGATGTCTCTGTCTGTTGTGGGACTTCTGACAGTTGGCACTGGCAGCTGCTGTCATCATCAGGCACCTTCCTCCCCCTCAGCCTGCCTTAAGAAGTCAGGAAGGATGGCAGGAGACAAATCGCTTGATCATTGTCTTCGGTCCACCCTCGCTGGGGTACCTGGTGCTGGCCACTGTCGGCAGACAGGCTACTGGGCTACATGGACCTTTGGTCTGACCCAGTACGGCCGTTCTTATGTATCTGCCAGAGGGCTCCTGGGCAACTGGCCCACTCATTTGCCTGCCACATAGAAAAGCTCTATGGCTCAAGGAGAAGGGTAAAAGTCACCAGGTATTCCCAATGGGTGGAGGTGGGGGTTGATCCCCAGGGTTTCCTCTGGGTCAAGGGCAAAGCAATAAGCTTTTTCATCTGGCACAGTCAATCAATCAGCAACCCCCATTTCCCTAGATAACAAAGCTTCTCCTACAAATAGATTATTTTAATACACATTAAGGGTCTTTTTTTTTCATTTTTTTCTTCATGATGCCACTACAAGGTAAAGTTAATGTTATTAGGGTGCTTTATTGTGTCTTGCCATATGTGGATTTCTTTCAAGTTTAACCTTAATTCTGAATTCCCTGTAATATTTGTTTTGGGAATAGCTACAACAATTCTGTGCTATTACCATGTTTAAGTTACTGATAGAGAGTCTTAACCTTAATTCCAGTTTTATTCAATTTAGTGGGGAATTTCCTTGTTTGGTTTTAATATAAAAAATACGTAAATATGAAACAAGAAACCTAAAGAGATGTTGCTAGGTGATATTTCTAAGCAGTATCAACTTTCTACCTCTCTCGTGTACATTATAATTTTTAGGGACAGATTCACCAGTATGGCCTACCTGCTTCAAACCACTCTGGAACAAAACAGCCAGTTCAGGAGAGCCAGTTCCCCCCTTTTCTATCCCCCACACTTGTCTGTATGCATACACCCCTCTACCCACGCCTCCTTTCCAATCCCCTGTACACATACACAGGCCTGCCAGCAGTGGGGAGGGGAGGAAAGGGGGCAGTTGCCCTTGGGTCTGGCAATTCAAAGGAGCCTGGGGCTCTTGGACACTACCACTGCGGCAGCAGCCGGAGCCCTATATCCTTTAAATTGCTGTCCTGAATGGTGCTGAGGGGCGGG